TGCCACAAATTTCAGTATACAAGTAACATCTAGGCAGTATGTGGTATGGGTGCCACAGATGTCTGTATACTAGTAAGATCTAACAGTATCTGGTAGGGGTGGCACAGATGTTTGTATACCAGTAACATCTAGGCAGTATGTGTTGTGTGTGCCACGGATATCTGTAAACCAGTAACATCCATGCAGTATGTGGTATGGGTGCCAAAGTTGTCAGTATACGAGTAACATCTAGGTAGCGTGTGGTATGGGTGCCACAGATGTCAGTATACGAGTAACATCTAGGCAGTATGTGGTATGGGTGCCACAGATGTCGGTATACCAGTAATATCTAGGCAGGGTGTGGCATGGGTGCCACAGATGTCAGTATACCAGTGACGTCTAGGCAGTATGTGGTATGGGTGCCACAGATGTCAGTATACCAGTAATACCTAGGCAGGGTGTGGCGTGGGTGCCACAGATGTATATATACCAGTAATATCCAGGGCAGTATGTGGTAGGTGTCACAGATGTCTGTATACCAGTTATATCTAGGCAGTAGGTGGAGGTGCCACGGATATATGTATACCAGTAACATCCATGCCGTGTGGTATGGGTGCCAAAGATGTCCGTTTACCAGTAACATCTTATGTGTGTGTGGTATGGGCGCCACAAACGTCAGCATACCAGTAACATCCAGGCAGTATGTGGTATTGGTGCCACAGATGTCCGTATACCATTAACGTCTCAGGGCAGTATGTTGTGTGTGTGTCACGGATATCCGTATACCAATAACATCAAGGGAGTGTCTGGGATGGGTGCACAGATGTCAGCATACCAGTAACATCCAGGGCAGCGTGTGTTTGCCATGGGTGTCACAGATGTCAGTATACCAGTAATGTGTAGGCAGTATGTGGTATTGGTGCCACAGGTGTCAGTATACCAGCAACATCCATGCAGTGTGTGGTATGGGTGCCAAAGATGTCAGTATACCATTAACATCCAGGTAGCGGATGGTATGGGGCGCCACAGGTGTCAGTATACCAGCAACATCAAGGCAGTGTGTGGTATGAGTGCCACAAATGTCAGCATACCCATTTACATCCACGCAGTGTGTGGCATGGGTATAAGGTGCCACAGATGTCAGTATACCAGTAACATCTAGGAAGTTTGTGGTATGGTGCCACAGAAGTCTTTATACAAGTAATATCTAAGCAGTATGTGGTAACGGGTGCCCACAGATGTCTGTAGCACCATTAATATCTAGGTAGTATGTGGTGTGCGTGCCACGGATATCTGTATACCAGTAACATCCATGCAGTAACGTCTGGGCAGTATGTGGTATGGGTGCCACAGATGTCAGTATACCAGTAATATCTAGGCATTGTGTGGCATGGGTACCACAGATGTATATATACCAGCAATATCTAGGTAGTATGTAGTAGGGGTGTCACAGATATCTGTATACCAGTTATATCTAGGCAGTATGTGGTGTGTGTGCCACAGATATCTGTATACCAGTAACATCCATGCAGTGTGTGGTATGGGTGCCACAGATGTCTGTATACCATTAATATCTAGGTAGTATGTGGTATGGGTGCCAAAGATGTCAGTATACCAGTAACATCTAGGCAGTATGTGGTGTGTGTGCCACGGATATCTGTATACCAGTAACATCCACGCAGTGTGTGGTATGGGTGCCACAAATGTCAGTATCCCAATAATATCTAGGCAGTGTGTGGTAATATCTAGGAAGTATGTGGTGTGCCACGGATATCTGGTATACCACGGATAATCAGGATACCAGTAACAATCCATGCAGTATGTGGTATGGGTGCCAAAGATGTCAGTATACCAGCAACATCTAGGTAGCGTGTGGTATGGGTTCCACAGATGTCAGCACACGAGCAAGATCTAGGCAGTGTGGCATGGGTGCCACACAGATGTCAGCATACCAGCAACATCTCAGGCAGGGTGTGGTATGGGTGCCACGGATACCCGTATACCAGCAACATCTAGGCAGTATGTGGTACGGATGCCACAGATGTTTGTATACCAGTAACATCCATGCAATGTGTGGAATGGGTGCGACAGATGTCTGAAAACCAGTAGCATCTAGGCAGTGTGTGGTATGGGTGGCACAGATGTCAGTATACCAGTAACATCTAGGTAGTGTGTGGTATGCTTGCCACAGATGTCTGTATACAAGTAACATCTAGGTGGTGTGGGTGCCATAGATATATCTGTAGGCCAGTAACATCTAAGCATTGTGTGATCTGATTCGCCACAGATGTCTGTATACCAGTAACATCTAGGTAGTTTGTGGCATGGGTGCCACAGATGTATGTATACCAGTAACATCTAAGCAGTATGTGGTATGGGTGCCACAAATTTCACTATACAAGTAACATCTAGGCAGTATGTGGTATGGGTGCGACAGATGTCTGTATACTAGTAATATCTAGGCAGTATGTGGTGTGTGTGCCACGGATATCTGTATACCAGTAACACACATGCAGTATGTGGTATGGGTGCCAAAGATGTCTGTATACCAGTAATATCTAGGTAGTATGTTGTTTGGGTGCCACAGATGTTTGTATAAGAGTAATACCTAGGCAGTGTGTGGCATGGGTGCCACAGATGTCAGTATACCAGTAACGTCTAGGCAGTATGTGGTATGGGTGCCACAGATGTCAGTATACCAGTAATATCTAGACAGTGTGTGGCATGGGTGCCACAGATGTATATATACCACTAATATCTAGGCAGTATGTGGTAGGGGTGTCACAGATGTCTGTATACCAGTTATATCTAGGCAGTATGTGGTTTGTGTCCCACGGATATCTGTATACCAGTAACATCAATGTAGTGTGTGGTATGGGTGCCACAGATGTCTGTATACCATTAATATCTAGGCAGTATGTGGTATGGGTGCCAAAGATGTCAGTATACCAGTAACATCTAGTCAGTATGTGGTTTGTTTGCCACAGATGTCTGTATACCATTAATATCTAGGCAGTATGTTGTGTGTGTGCCACGGATATCTGTATACCAGTAACATCCATGCCGTGTGTGGTATGGGTGCCAAAGATGTCAGTATACCAATAATATCTAGGCAGTATGTGGTATGTTTGCCACAGATGTCTGTATACCATTAATATCTACTCAGTATGTTGTGTGTGTGCCTTGGATATCTGTATACCAGTAACATCCATGCAGTGTGTGGTATGGGTGCGAAAGATGTCAGTATACCAGTACCATCTAGGTAGCGTGTGGTATAAGTCCCACAGATGTCTGTATACCAGTAACATCTAGGCAGTGTGTGGTATGGGTGCCATAGATGTATGTATACTAGTAACATCTAGGTAGTGTGTGGCATGGGTGCCACGGATATCTGTATACCAGTAACATCTAGGCAGCGTGTGGTATGGGTCCCCCAGGTGTTTGTATACCAGTAATGTCTAGTCAGTATTTGGAATGGGTGTCACAGATGTCTGTATACCAGTAATATCTAGGCAGTATGTGGCGTGTGTGCACACGATATGTAGTAAAACCAGTAGCATCTAGGCAGTATGGTCTGGGTGCCACATATGTCAGTATACCAGTAGCATCTAGGTAGTATGTGGTATGGGTGCCACAGATGTCAGTATACCAGTAACATCTAGGTAGTGTGTGTTATGGTTGCCACAGATGTCTGTATACCAGTAACATCTAGGTAGTGTGTGGTGTGGTTGCAGCAGATGTCTGTATACCAGTAACATCTAGACAGTATGCGGTATGGGTGCCACGGATATCTGTACACCAGTAACATCCATGCAGTGTGTGGTATGGGTGCCACATATGTCTGTATACCAGTAATATCTAGGCAGTGTGGCATGGGTGTCACAGATGTCTGTATACCAGTAACATCTAGGCAGTATACGGTATGGATGCCACAATTGTCTGTATACCAGTAATATTTAGGCAGTATACGGTATGGGTGCCACAAATGTCTGTATACCAGTAATATCTAGGCAATGTGTGGCATCGGTGCCACAGATGTCAGTATACCAGTAACATCTAGGTAGTGTGTGGCATGGGTGCCACAGATGTCTGTATACCAGTCACATCTAGACAGTGTGTTGTATGGATGCCACACATGTCTGCATACCATTAACATCTAAGCATTGTGTGGTCTGAGTGCCACAGATGTCAGTATACCAGTAACATCTAGGCAGTATGCGGTATGGGTGCCACAAATGTCTGTATACCAGTAACATCTAGGTAATATGTGGTATGGGTGCCACAGATGTAAGTCTACTAGTAACATCTAGGCAGTGTGTGACGTTTGTGCCACACATGTCTGTATACCAGTAACATCTATGGAGTGTGGGTACAACAGATGTCAGTATACCAGTAACATCTATGGAGTGTGGGTACAACAGATGTCAGTATACCAGTAACATCTATGGAGTGTGGGTACAACAGATGTCAGTATACCAGTAACATCTATGGAGTGTGGGTACAACAGATGTCAGTATACCAGTAACATCTATGGAGTGTGGGTACAACAGATGTCAGTATACCAGTAACATCTATGGAGTGTGGGTACAACAGATGTCAGTATACCAGTAACATCTATGGAGTGTGGGTACAACAGATGTCAGTATACCAGTAACATCTATGGAGTGTGGGTACAACAGATGTCAGTATACCAGTAACATCTATGGAGTGTGGGTACAACAGATGTCAGTATACCAGTAACATCTATGGAGTGTGGGTACAACAGATGTCAGTATACCAGTAACATCTATGGAGTGTGGGTACAACAGATGTCAGTATGCCAGTAACAAAGATACATACCAGCAGACGGGCAGACACTATTATTGATAACTGATATACATACAGGTGGATAGTCTTGTCAACAGAGATACATATACGTGAACGCGACTGTTGTTGATATATATTTATTTATATATATATGTATGTGGACACTAATGTTGTTGAGATATATATACAGGCAGATACTATTGTTGTTAACAGAGATACTTGGAGAACCGGAAGTACTCAAATGCAGACCATGACGACCTGTGGGCAGCCCTCGACTCCGTGAGTGCTCGTGACATGTCGTGTGGGAAACAGCTGGTGACTGTGTGAGTTTGTGAGTGAGTGAGTTTTTGAGCAAGTGTGTGTGGGTGCGTGTGTGAGTGTGTTTGCGACGCATTGAATGAATGAGCTATTGAGTGAGTAAATGATTGAGTACAATCATCTACATTACCTACATCATAGTAATGTTGGTCCTTTATATACCAGTGTACCCGCTATGTAGACAGACGGCTCATAGAAATTGTGGTCCTTTATATACCAGTGAACCCGCTATGTAGACAGACGGCTCATAGAAATGGTAGTCCTTTATATACCAGTGAGTCCGCTATGTAGACAGACGGCTCATAGAAATGGTGGTCCTTTATATACCAGTGTGCCCGCTATGTAGATAGACGGCTCATAGTAATGTTGGTCCTTTATATACCAGTGAGCCCGCTATGTAGACAGACGGCTCATAGAAATGTTGGTCCTTTATATACCCGTGTTGCATGCTGGAAGTACTGCGGCCAGTAAATAGTCGAGTTTGGGACAGACCAGGAACTGATATTAAGGACAACGCCCCTCCAGGCACCCAATCCACCGGTTCTGTAAATAACATGAGCCGTGCTTTCACCCCTAATACAGCAAGCAAAGGCAGATAAAAAACCAGTAGATGTGGTGGACACGATGAAGACGTGGACGCTGCAGATGAACTATCCAGTTGTCACGGTGTCCAGGGCGGGGGGCAACAAGCTGAAGCTGCAGCAGGAGAGGTTCCTCTTGGACCCGTCAGCAGCGGACCCCGGAACCTACACATCACCCTACGAGTAAGTTCATGATTAAATGTGTTCACCAAGTGAGTGATGGTTGTTTTACGCCGCTTTGCCCGTTACCAGCGGACCCCGGGACCTTCAATCTTATTACGAGTACGTGCATAAATGCATTATTGTGTACGGGTCAGGTGAACTCGCCAGCCGATAGTTAAAGTCATGAAGGCAATATAACCTTCCAATTTTACCTACAATTCCCCCTCAACCCCATGGCAACCCACCCCTCTCAGGAGTCATAAGTGTGAGGGATGTTTCCTTTCCAGATAATATGAAATAAGATGAATGAGTTCCAAACATTATAACAGTAATTGTTGATTGCAAATTGAAAATGAAAAGTTAACAGGGAAGTAGATACAATTCACTGCAATGTATTATAGTGGCAGCGCAAAAGCTAGTGACTGTACAAGCACAAAGGTAAGCACATACAAGGGTCGGGAAAATAACAATATTGACGGTGATGGTAATATTCCCTTCTCAGCTACAGTAGTCCATCTAGAAACAAAGGCTTTGAGCAGAGTGCCAATGGTTTACTGATCTTCACACTCAATGCTGTTGTTGTAACTTGGGATTGTGCTCCCATTATACACACAGGAAAACGTGTTCTCAACTCAAGGCAGTACATGGGGGAGTCAGCGGCTTGTAGTCTATGTGTACATCTCTCTATAATAGTCAGTGGGTTCGGACATGGTATATAACATGGCACAAGCCTACATATAGATTACACTACTACTCCAACGACTGTATGTCAACAGGTACAATGTTGTAAAGCTGGAACATCGTACGACAGTGAATAACTGTTACATTACACATAGAACATAGTATGACAGTGATTATCACTGCTACATTACATTTGGAACTTACATGACAGTGAATGAAACATACCCCATTACATTTGGAACATTTTATGACAGTGAATACCACTGTCCTATTACACTTGGGAAATTGTGTAACAGAGAATACGACTGTCCTATTACATTTGGAACATTGTACGACAGTGAATACCACTGTTCTATTACACTTGGAACATTGTGTGACATTGTGTGACACTGTCCTGTTACACTTCGGACATTGTATGACAGTGAATACCAATGTCCTATTACACTTAAAACATTGTGTGACATTGTGTGACACTGTCCTATTACACTTCGGACATTGTATGACAGTGAATACCAATGTCCTATTACACTTGAAACATTGTGTGGCATTGTGTGACATTGTGTGATACTCTCCTTTTACACTTCGGACATTGTATGACAGAGAATACAACTTCCACATTACATTTGGAACATTGTGTGACATTGTGTGACACCGTCCTATTATACCTGGGACATTGTGTGACATTGTGTGACACTGTCCTATTATACCTGGGACATTGTATGACAGTATATAACACTGCCACCTTACAGTGTCCCTTTTCGAACCCGGATCAAGTTTGTGGCTCGCTCTTTCTGCAATACCAGAAACATCGCTGGAGCTTCACAATCAAAGGAAGTTGTAATCACACGGTTCTGGTATCACACCATCGTCTTTATACCTAATCTAACCTTAACGCTAGGAATCAAGTATTTTTATTTAAAAATCTTTTCAGATATAAATGGAATATTCCTTTCACCTTCACAACGAGTTCAGAGAAAAACTTCAACAAGACTGATGCGGACATTGTGTGGATGAAGAGGGATGACAAAACAGGTATTTTAACGTGAATCCGAAAGTTTCAAGCAAATCACCAGTAACTCGGACTCCGTGTCCGTGTAATCAAATTGCTCTTTGACATCGACAATATCCAGGTCGGTACATGGTATAACTTCATAACTTGAAGTCGAAATTTAAATGGTAATTTCTCGATGTTTCAGTGACGTAAGGAGAAATCGTGTTATCTCGAACTATCTTTAAGACGATGTACATACATTATGATGTGGGTAGTGTCGATACTGGCACGAGGGGTCTACCCTCGGTACTTATGCGCTCGGTATTAACGCCGACAGATAATCCGTAATCGCTGGTGGCTATTCTTTCTATCGTCAGTGCACACTTTACATCCAACTTCTTCAGACACGTACAGTTCACCACTATCCATTCCGACCACTGGCAAGTCCGACTGGGTCATCGGCAATATTGGTCTGTACGGGCTGTACCGGGTCAACTACGAAGACAGCAACTGGAAGGCTCTCATCAATCAGCTAGCCACTGACCACACGGTGAGCCACTGACCACACGGTGAGAGAATGACCACACGGTGAGCCACTGACCACACGGTGAGAGACTGACCACACGGTGGGCCACTGACCACACGGTGAGAGACTCTGTATCCGGTCTGTACACTGAGGACATTTCGAGTCGTATTTGTCATAGTCAGGTTAAACCATGGTCGTGCTGGTTCCATCACAAAGACCAACTATCCTTGATGACGGCTGTTTGCATCCATTGACGTAGACAGCTGGTGTTAAACTCGACCACACAGTGTGCTAGGTGGGGGCAATGCTTTGTTTGTTAATCTCCTCTCCTTCTACTAGGCTTCCACTATGTTCCCGGCGGCCACGGCAGCCAAATCAGTCCATCAGTCACGTTCTGATGGGCTCCCTCACGTTTCTCACGTTATGTTTTGATGTTTCGACACGTATTGCGCGTTCTGTCAAAACTTTCTACAGATGAAATGTGGACGCCGGCCAGATTTGGACCACATTTGTGCCCACGGTATCAAAATAAGGCTTCCCAAGCAATAGCAGCCATTGTATTCTGAGAGACAAAAGCAGCATGTACGTTGAAGATGAAGATTTTGTGTTTGCTTGTTTGCTGGGGGCGTACGTCGACTCCTTGCATCAGCAAGAACGCCAGCATCAGCTGCAGAGAGGGAATGCCAGAGAACGCAACGTGTCGTATCTTGCCGGCCCTGTAAGCCGTCACACGCCTGGATGCGTCGTACTAGAACGGGACGAATCGGCTTCATACTACCGCTTGCCGAGAGAACAGGGACAAAACGGGCAGCAAAGGTGAAACAACCGTGACAAAACGCCAAACAAACGTGGTCGAACATAACAAACGTGACCGAACATGACAACCGTGACCGAACATGAGAACCGTGACCGAACATGAGAACCGTGACCGAACATGACAACCGAGACCGAACATGACAACCGTGACCGAACATGACAACCGTGACCGAACATGACAACCGTGACCGAACATGACAACCGGTCAACCGTGACCGAACATGACAACCGTGACCGAACATGACAACCGTGACCGAACATGAGAACCGTGACCGAACATGACAACCGAGACCGAACATGACAACCGTGACCGAACATGACAACCGGTCAACCGTGACCGAACATGACAACCATGACCGAACATGACAACCGTGACCGAACATGACAAAACTTCAAGTTTTGTTACGGCCGATTACTTGTTGTCACTGTTGTCTCCCATTTGTTACACATGCCAGTTGTTAGACTCTGATATTGTCATGTTACACAGTCAGGTTGGGGGTTAATTACTGCTATACCTACAACAATAATGGACTAGCCCAAACTGTCAAATGGATCAAAGGGATTAAGAGCAAGCAGTTTTGATGTTTTTAGCTCATGAAATGTACATTCAGTTGTTTCTATCTTGAGATGATTTCATCTTCTCAAGGCAGGATTAACTATTTAGTAGAGTTAACTCAATTTTATTGAGAAAATATATTATTTACTATACATGGCTGGGGATGACCCTTGCGCATTTTATATGTTTATCATTATTCACCGAATAAATATATTCACCTTATAAACATGGGTTGGTTCACAAAACAAAAAACACAATAACAATTACTATTTATTACACTTCATCTATATTAAATTCCAAATCTCTATTTCTCTTTATCTATTTCATATGTTTTACCTTTTTAATTCGGCCTCCCATTCCAATTTCCCTTAATTCTCAGTTGGTTGGTTTGTTTTTTTGGTGTGTGTTTATTTTTGGGAAGTTACACCACTCTTTCAAAATTTCTATTTTTTGTTCCCCCTCATTTCTTAATAAGTTTACTACCCCGTCGCCGAAATACCTTAGTTGTGCGTGCGACGTTAAATAAAGCAAAAACAACAACAACAACCTTGCACATTAACCATGGCTGGTATACAAAGAGTAGGGTATGTCACATCGCAGCGAGGCAGATCGCAAGTTCTTTTTATTGATTCCTCTACAACAAGTCCACAACACGACAAGCATGTCAGCACTGGCAATGCATTGTTAAGAACTGCAAGGGCAAGTGCAAAACAGTTGGAAATCTTGTCAGGATTGTTTCTGAACACAGTCATCCACCAGAAAATGTCACTCGGGCTAAGTTTATCGGCAGTTTCAGGGAAAGAGCTAGAGAAGAGACAACCTACATGCATGACATCTACAAGCAGGTGATCGCTGAACAAGATGCAGCAGAAGTCCCATTAAGCTTGGTTGAGACTCTTCTTATGTAAAATCTATGTGCTGAGTTGAATCAGGGGTTTAGAAATACATGATAAAAGACATCGAAGAATGATGAACTTCATATGCATGGATTTGCAACAACTGGCGTGTGTAACAACTGGCGTGTGTACACTGGCGTGTGTAACAACTGGCGTGTGTAACAACTGGCGTGTGTAACAACTGGCGGGTGTAACAACTGGCGTGTGTAACAACTGGCGTGTGTAACAACTGGCATGTGTAACAAATGGGAAGATACCGTTGTCACATGTTGATGCGTTGCTCACGTTTCACTACGGCTTACTAGGTTTCCCAGTAGTACCGTGACTGCCGTGGCCCGTTTTTTCACAGTTTCAATATCTGGCACGGCATCCACGGTAATGAAGGACTGTCACGTTTCCTCATTCAGTCTCCCCACATTGTCTTACGTCCACCCCGTTTTGCCTCCGTTTCACTACGTTTCGGTGAAACGAGACTTCAGTGGCCTCGGGCAACATAGTGTAACCTTAGCACTTAGAATCACCTTACCATAGGCATACATGACGTTCATGTGTTGATAGGCTTTAAAGGATGCACTACTACAAAATCGTTACAAAATCATAAAGGTGTGATCGAGAGGTCTACTGGGTAAAGTGTAAAATCAGATTATTTCTGACAGTCTGCAGATAAATGTCTCGGCTCTTGGAGTAATGCACCTACCGGTGTTGTACCCTTACACTAGCCAAACTATCACCATTACTAGCCTATCTACCATCATTAGTAGCCTATCTATCATCATTACTAACCTATCTATCATCATTACTAGCCTATATGTCACCATTCCTAGCCTATCATCATTACTAGCCTATATATCACCATTACTAGCCCATCTATCACCATTACTAGCCTATCTGTAACCATTTCTAGCCTATCTATCACCATTACTAGCCTATCTATCACCATTTCTAGCCTATCACCATTACTAGCCTATCTATCACCATTACTAGCCTATCTATCACCATTACTAGCCTATCTATCACCATTCCTAGCCTATCTATCACCATTACTACCCTATCATCATTACTAGCCTATATATCATCAATACTAGCCTATCTATCACCATTACTAGCCTATCATCATTACTAGCCTTTCTATCACCATTCCTAGTCTATCTATCACCATTACTACCCTATCATCATTACTAGCCTATATATCATCAATACTAGCCTATCTATCACCATTTCTAGCCTATCATCCTTACTAGCCTATCTATCATCATTACTAGCCTATCTATCACCATTACTAGCCTATCATCATTACTAGCCTATCTATCATCATTACTAGCCTATCTATCACCATTACTAGCCTATATATCACCATTTCTAGCCTATCATCATTACTAGCCTTTCTATCACCATTCCTAGCCTATCTATCACCATTACTACCCTATCATCATTACTAGCCTATATATCATCAATACTAGCCTATCTCACTGGAAAAAAAATGCATGTTTCCAAGCTTGGAAATGTCTTGGAAAGATGATGTTTCCAAGACATTTCCAATCTTGGAAAGATGATGTTTCCAAGACATATCCAAAATGGATACATGAGATATCCATACGTTTCCAATTATTGGATATGTGCACAAGGGGAGATAACTGGTGGGTGATGGTAAATGTACGCCGAAAGACCTGACCCTCGTTACTTGATGAGCGAATCAAGGCCGTAGATTAACCAATTAACAACTTGATAGTCATTAAAATCAGGCTGTTTGTAGCCTTTATGACTATACTGGTTGGACCACTGAATAATATCACGCTACAAAATGAACTTGAACAGCAACATTTTCAGGTTATCATTTGCGCCTCTAAACATTGAATGAAATAATTACTATTTATGATGAAATGGATCAGAGAACATTATAATGGCATAAATGAGGCTTTAGTGACTCATGTAATGGTGAAATTAAAATTATATAATCACTATGACATTGTTAGTTTACTCATGGCCAGACACATCAACCTGGTACCGGTAGATTTATATGTATTACGTAAACATTCAGTATTTCTTAGTACTTGAGATAAGATTACACAAATTTTCAGTGAGACGTTTAATCTCAGATCATTTTGTTAGGTAGCATTCACTAAAGTAAAACTTCAATAGATCGGTCATTGGCACACTGAAGCAGATTTCACTTATACTGCATTAAACAGTATGGGGATACATAAAGGCATCATACCAATGTATGTGGTAACAATACCTGATTATTGCATTACATTTCGATGTACATCTTTCAGCATAAACAAGTTGGTTCAACTTGGTTGTATGTTGATTAATTTCCAATTTTATATGTCCACAAGGGGAGATAACCGATGGGTGATGGTAAATGTACGCCCAACGACCTTATCAAGGCCGTTAAGATTCACCAATTAACAAGGCCTGCTGTCTTGTTAATTAGCAAGTGAACAGTTAAAACAGCCTCTGGAAGGATAACCCAGTTCCCAGTTTATATGCCTCTTACAACTTCAACTTCTTTATTCTCATAAAACCACCATCGGTGGTACAAGAGCATTTAACTATACAATATTTACAAATGTGTATACATATGGACATGCGTCATGATGATGAGTTATTTATGTAACAATTTATACAAATGAGAGATACTAGAAAAGTGATAGACAGTTGCTAAGTTTAAAATTGACAGGTGATATGACCTTGCTAATAGTTGCTTAGCTTGCTTAGCTTTGATTTTCTGTAAGAATTAAGTGACGTGCATTTAA